TCCTTCTTACTCAAAGATCCAGAGATTACCAGAACTCTTGGGAATCAGCAATTCACCTAATGTATATTTCTCCTACAAACCATTTAATAACAATGATTATATGGATGAATGTCATCTTGACTCTCTCCATTTTTAAAGGTATTCTTCTTTGGTTTCCATAATATTGTGAGTTGCACTTCAATTTCTCCACAAGGTCTTCAGATATCTTCTTGTGTCTTTCTTTTCAGATGTTCTGGCAGATGTTTCAGTAACTGAATCAGGAGGAGAACTGAAAAGACCTGGAGATTCTCTTCGACTCACTTGCACATGCTCTGGATTCAACATTGATAGTTACTGGATCCACTGGATCCGCCAGGCAGATGGAAAAGGGCTGGAGTGGATCTCACGGATAAATAAAGGCACCGTATATTATGCCAATTCTTTTAAAGGTCGATTCACAATCTCCAAAGATAGTTCCAGGAACCTGGTTTATCTAGACATGAACGGACTGAAAGCTGAAGACACAGCCAAGTATTACTGTGCAAGGGAACACAGTGGAGAAAAATGAATCTGAGCTTGTCATAAAATCTACAAATTGTGTGGCAAAGGGAAAGTTTCATTTGGATTCACTCCAATGAAAACAGAACCACAACAGGACAGCTTTAAATATAATTTGAGGCAACTCATTTGGGACCTGCAACAGCTGTTTATTAATGAATTAATTTATTTTTTACAAGGAGATGAATATAGTGAGAAGGCATTAGATTTGCATATGGACGATGTCTGAAAAAGTAATGTTCTCTCTCAGCCCAATTCACCCAACAGGGTTGTTGCAAGAAAGAGTATTAAGTATGTTGACCATCCGGAGTTATTTATAAAAATAATAAAGTTGGGATTAAAATTAATTAAATAAATCTGCAACTTATTTTCCAATTTTTTAATTTGGGAAATAAACCTAATGAAGAATAGCAAAAGTAACAGTATTAATAATACCAGGTAAAGTTAAAGGCAAGATAAATATATCCAAATCCTCTGTGTGCTGTTTACTCGCTGTCACTTAGTACTCATATTCTATATGAATTACATTAGGTAATTGCATAAAAGCGTAACATTTTACTTTCTTATGTAATATCCTATCCCAGGATTTGATAAAATCAAGGGTTGAGATTTAATGATAAAGCTAAGGATTAATTCAAGGTTTGAATAAATCACATATTGATACTATAGAGATCTTTATTTTTTCTTTTATTATTATTGTCCTGTTTATTTTATTTTGATCCCTATCATCTATGCATTTTGCACAGTAACTCTTGTATGCTGCTGTAATTTATTCCTTTCCACTATTTAAAATAACATGAAATAAAAAATAATAAGTTTCTTTACAAAAATGGAAGAAGCTATGCTGAGTGTCTATGTAGTAGTAAGGTTCTACATTTAAGCAAGAAAAAAAATTCACAGGTATAGTATAGGGGGTACCTTGCTCAATAGTAGTAACTATTGGAGTCCTAGTGGACAACCACTTAAATATGAGCCAGCAGTGTGCTGCAGCTGCCAAAAAAGCCAATACAGTGCTAGGCTGCATTAACAGAGGGATAGAATCAAGATCATGTGAAGTGTTAATACGTCTTTACAATACCTTGTTAAGGCAACATTTGGAATACTGCATCCAGTTTTGGTCACCGTGATGTAAAAAAGACGCTAAGACTCTAGAAAGAGTACAGAGAAGAGCAACAAAGATGATTAGGGGACTGGAGGCTAAAACATATAAGGAACAATTGCTGGAATTGGGTATGTCTAGTTTAATGAAGAGAAGGACAAGGGGTGACATGATAGCAGTGTTCCAATATCTCAGGAGTTGCCACAAAGAAGAGGGAGTCAAGCTATTCTCCAAAGCACCTGAAGGCAAGTCAAGAAGCAATACATGGAAACTAATCAAGGAGAGAAGCAACCTAGAACTAAGGAGAAATTTCCTGACACTTAGAATAATTAACTAGTGGAACAACCTGCCTCCAGAAGTGGTGAATGCTCCAACACTGGAGTTTTTAAGAAGAGATTGGACAGCCATTTGTCTGAAATGGTGTAGGGTTTCCTGCCTGAGCAGGGGGTTGGACTAGATGACCTCCAAGGTCCCTTCCAACTCTGTTATTTTATTCCAGTGATGGCGAACCTTTTAGAGACTGAGTGCCCAAAAACTGGCCCCGCCCCAGTCTGCCCCCTGCCCCGCCCCCACTCTGCTCCCCCATCCTCTGCCCCGCCTGCCCACAGGACCACTCACCACCTCCAGGGCCCACCGCAGATCACCCAGGCCGCCCAGTAGCGCTATGGCAGCCACACCCTCTGCCCGCGCCCTGCAGCATCAACTGTATGATGGGGTGTGAGGGCAGAGTCTTGTCTACACTGCCTGGCTGCCATGTCCTTGGCTGTGCTGCTCTGTGTGGGCCACGCTCGGGGGCGACTCTCCCTCAGGGGGGCTGCTGGAGAGGAGGAGGTCACGGGGGAAGCAAGGCTGGGGCAACGGCACATGTGCCCATAGAGAGGGCTCCAAGTGCCGCCTCTGGCACCCATGCCATAGGTTTGCCACCACTGTTCTGTTCTGTTCTGTTCTGTTCTGTTCTGTTCTGTTCTGTTCTGTTCTGTTCTGTTCTGTTCTGTTCTGTTCTGTTCTGTTCTGTTCTGTTCTGTTCTGTTCTGGTGTGGTCTGGTCTGGTCTGGTCTGGTCTGGTCTGGTCTAAATTACTTTGTGGGACTGACTAACTAAATAGAAGCTGAATTTTGCGGATGAAATTTGCAATCCTTAAGAGTATTTTATTCCTCTTCCCATTTGGACAGATACACAGTTTGAAAATGGAAAGCTCTCTTTATTGTAGTATTATATCTGTGTAAATAAGCCAGTCTAGGCTCACATTTTAATATTTATTTAAATTTATATGCCTCCTATCTCACTATCTAAAGTGACTCTGGTTGACTTATAATACAATAAATCACAACTATATAAAGATTAAAATTAATAGGAATTAAATAAACTAGGAAACAAGTACATGGATGGTCTGGATTTGAAATTTCCTCTCTTACTTCAACAGCCACCACCAGTGGAAAGTGGTCACAATGGGACCCTGACAGAGCCACCAGTTTTTGAGGTCCTTTTAGAAGGCCAGTTTTGTTGTGCCTATGTAGGAAAAGGCACATGCATAACAAGGTTGTCTTCAACATTGTATATAGGTGTATTAGTGGTGTATTTATTGTTGAATGTGTTCATATAACATATAGCTAACTGGAGAAAAAAACAATGGTTGGAGCTGACAAGAGTTTCCATAGGAAACCATAGGAAGCCATAGGAAGTAGATAGAATTATTTTCCTCTATTTAATTAGAATAATTCAATTTCTATAGTCCAATCAGTTGAAGCAATATTTAAATCATGAATGGTTTTCCATCCAAACATAGGTGAAAATCATTGCATTCAAAATGGACTCCATTCTCCATCAGTTCTCCCATGCTTTCTTTTCCTATTCCTTATTTCCCTTTCTTCACCTACCTTGCCTCGTACATTGTAATCCATTTTCTTTAGAAATGAAAAAGGGAAAGAGCAGAAAAATTATAAAGCCATCATTTCATTTAAATTGTTTCTATCTATCTGGTATGGCTCTTATCAATATTACATTCAAGCAGAACACTAGAACCACCATCCACCAGACCATTTCTAATGTACTCAAATCCTTGTGACAGTTGAAGATTTCATTCAAAGTTTGAGCTTGATTTTCCAATGGAAGAGATTCATTTGAATTTAGGTTGGTTGTGGTTACCAGGCTCAGGACCAATATTTGAAACTGAAGAACTCCAGCATGGAGATGGAGATGGAGATGGAGATGGAGATGGAGATGGAGATGGAGATGGAGATGGAGGAGGAGGAGGAGGAGGAGGAGGAGGAGGAGGA